ACTGGTCAACACAGCCTTCATGTCATTTTCTCAGTTATTGCTTTAAAACATTCACATTCTACTCTTAGAAAGATTCACCTGTACCCCTATATCTTTTTGTTTTTTTATTAGAGACAGAGTTTCACATCACCCTTGGTAAAGTGCTGTGGCGTCACAGCTCACAGCAACCTCCAACTCCTGGGCTTGGGCGATTCTCTTGCCTCAGCTTCCTTAGTAGCTGGGACTACAGGCGCCTGCCACAATGCCCAGCTATTTTGTTGTTGTTGTTGCAGTTTGGCTGCGGTAGGTTTGAACCCGCCATCTCCAGTATATGGGGCCGGCACCCTACTCCTTCAGCCACAGGCATCGCCTGGGCTGGGGTTTTTTTTGCAGTTTTTGGCTGGAGCTGGGTTTGAACCCACCACCTCTGGCATATGGGGCCGGCACCCTACTCCTTTGAGTCACAGGCATCATCCCCAGGCTGTTTTTTAATGACAAAAAGTTGAAAGCCACCTCATGAGGAAATGTCCCTCTTCTAATTAGGTAGGAAAAAAATATGCCACAAAATGGCATACACAGTGTAATTCCAGTTGTTAAGTAAATGAATGAAGGTGAGTGTGAAAACACACTTACAAAGGAACAAGCAGGAGGGTAGTTAACCAGGGCTGGGCAGGGGCTGGATCCTGTTGGACAACTTCCTTGTGACATTCTTCCAGCTGCTTCTGTATGTTTCCCAAGGTGGTGTAATTCTTACATTTGTTGCTTTCAAGAGAGATTTATTTTCCAACTACCTTAAGGAATACCTCATTTTAAAATTCTCTCTAAAAATTTAAACTTTACAAATAAGGTTCCTCTTTAATCCCAGCTCCCAATTCTAATCTTGGGGAGGGGCACACAAGTGGATTTGGTTTGTGCACAGAGATGGGTCCGGGACATTTCCACTCCCTACTTATGTCCTGGATGTTAGCTGCTGTTCCTGTGCCTGCCACCTTGTGGTCTTGTGTTGGCTGTGGCACCTCCGGACTTTATATCAGCATTCCAGGCCCAGAGCAGGATTGGTCAAGGCTCAAAGGGCCAGGCCAACTAACAGTTCCGTTTTGTGGATCTAAAAATCTTTTTTATTATGATGTGCCACCTATTTACAGAAATGTACTAAATGTGAATATACAGTTTGACACATTCTTATAGCATAGGTCATGCTGTAGCCACATCTCAGGCATAGAAATAGAGCTTTGCCAGCCCCAGGGGTCTCCATGTGCCCTCCCTAGTTGTGGCTCCCTTGCACTCACTCTTCCTTACTTACAGCTGTACCACCTGCACTTATATCCTTGGAGGTTGTTCATCCACCAGTGTTCTGTTCCACACAAAGCTTTGCTCCCCTGGCACCGTGTCCTAGCCATCTTCTCCATCAGTGTGTGGAGAGCCCTGTGCACCCAGTCCATGCTCTCGGCCATACCCACTGGTGGTTGGTGGCATGGGCTCATGGCTTTTCCCTCACCCAGCTTGCCAGAGGAGGCCCGCCAGCGGCGGGTGTTCGAAATGGTGGAGGCACTGCAGGAGCACCCTCGGGACCCCAACCAGATCTTGATTGGCTACAGCCGAGGCCTCATTGTCATCTGGGACCTGCGGGGTAGCCATGTGCTCTACCACTTCCTCTGCAGCCAGGTAGGCAGTCCCTGGGATGGCAGCATTGTCACATGCAGGCATCCTCAAACTATGGCCCGTGGGCCACATGAGGCCCGCCTAGGACATTTATCCATTTGCCACCACTGCCTGTCCTGGCTTAGTAGCCGACTCATCTTGGGGCCCACAGTCCAGCCCTCCAACGGTCTGAGGGACAGTGAATTGGCCCCCTGTTTAAAAAGTTTGAGGACCCCTGGTCATATGGCTTTCCCAGTGCCTCCTCACGGCACTAGTGTCAAAACATAGGGGTGGGCAGCACCTGTGGCTCAGTGAGTAAGAGCGCTGGCCCCATATACGGAGGGTGGCAGGTTCAAACCCGGCCCCAGCCAAACTGCAACCAAAAAACAGCTGGGCGTTGTGGCAGGCGCCTATAGTCCCAGCTACTTGGGAGGCTGAGACAAGAGAATCGCTTAAGCCCAGGAGTTGGAGGTTGCTGTGA